CGGTCCATGAGATATAAGGCTCCGCCACCCTTGGCTTCTAAGTTCTTATCCATTCCTCTAAGGGATTCACCCGCCATGTTTTCAGGTTTCAAGGCTTCAAGTTAAAACCTCCTTTATTTATATGGACAAGTGTGAATGGATAGTCATAGTCAGAGATTTGACCCTTCGACCAAAATATTCTTTCCGGCTTAGGGCGTCTGCTACTACGTTGGCTTTACCCGGATGATAACGAATTTCACATTCGTAGTCATTGAGTAGCTTAACCCATCGTCGTTGTCTCATGTTGAGCTCCTTGTGATCGAATATTGTAACGTCATAAAATTTCCAACCAAAAATTTTCATTTTTACAACCATCAAAACATGAGTAATAAGTTTAGATTCCAAAGTAACAATGTAGTCACAACCGATTACATAACGAAAGATAACAAAATAGTTTCCCCGAGTGTGTGTACGGTCATGCTGGCGCCTTCCCACGGTCCTCACTAGTACCTGAAACACATAATGCAACAACTGTAAGCAAAAAGCTTAGTGAGTTCCCAAAATACAACATACGCACATACGCCTTTCCATGCCTTGACCTTCCGGTCCGTGTGTCTCAGGGGACTTCCGTCCCAAGTGGGTAAACCTTCCGGTCCTACCCACGTCAACCCTTCTAGTCCATATGACCACGCCTTCCGGCCCATATCATGTTGCCTTCCGGCCCAAATTAACATGTCATACATGACACATATAGCAAATAACTTAACACACATAAGGCATGTATTTCATATCATATTCGACCTTCCGGTCACACAGTCTAAACCCTTCCGGGTACAGTATAGTGAGAAGACTCACCTCGAATGCCTCGCTAAGCCGCTAATCGTGAATCCTGAAATCACTCGGGCTCGAACCCTCGAGTTGCAATCCTCCTATGATATTATAATTCTATAATTATTACTTGTACCACAAAGGTGGACCATCCTTATCAAGTCAACACGGTTGACTTGGTCAAACATCTTTAATCAATTTGGACCGGACTCGGCGAGTGCACACTAGTGACTCGGCGAGTCTACGCATTTTAATCAACTATCAGGGTTATTCCCCTTTGACTCGTCGAGTACTACCCCGACTCGACGAGCCCCCCCTTGGGCCTGAATCACAGGTCCACCGCAACTCAACTCGCCGAGTCCCAACCTGACTCGGTCCACCTGTCAAAACCTTTCCAACTCTTTGCGACTCACTGAGTCGCCCACAACTCGGTTCAGACCACACACAGTATGGTCTCAAGGACAATCTTCAAGCGACTCGTCGAGTCTGTTCTTCAGACTGGCGAGTCCATGCCATGCACCAGCTAAAACTGGCTTTTGCGGTCAGATCCGTTCCATACATACATAGATCTGGCCTTCCCAAGCTTATTTGTCACGTAAAGTCTCAGTCTTGGTTGCCATGCAATGCATACAAGGCTTATTTTGAAGAAACAACCACTAATATGGCAAGCTTAGCTTCTAACTCAAAAGAATGGACATAAAGCTTGTCATATGGGGTCTCATGGACCTACTAAGGTCCATATCTAGGTTCCATATCACCATGGGACCTCTCATACTTCCGATTCAAGCCAAGAAATGCAAGAAGAAACCCTAGACTTGGCACATCAACACAAAACACGAAGCTTGGCTCTGAAAATTACCTCAAGAAGACTCCCTTGAAGAAATAGCAACAGATCTAAGCTCCCCAACACTTCAAGCTTGCTCCTTTCCCTCCTTTCCTTGCAATATCACACCAAATGATGAACAAATGGCCTCCAAACACACTCACAAGGGCTTACAGACGTATGGAGGCTCTTAGGGTTCAAGGTGGCCGCAAATGAGGGCCATAAGGTCCTTTAAATAGGGCTTAGGACCAGGAAATTAGGGTTTCATTAAACAGCGTGGACTCGCCGAGTCCATCCCTTGGACTCGTCGAGTCCGGGAGCGAACCCCCGCCCAAAACCGTGTCCTGACTCGGCGAGTTCGACCCCCAACTCGCCGAGTCCCCTCACAGAATATCATAAATATGAGAATGAAGGTACCTGGGGATCCGGGCTGTTACAATTCTCCCCCACTAGAATAAGACTTCGCCCTCGAAGTCCCGCTAGGCAAATAGCTCCGGATGCAGCTCCCGCATCTCACGTTCCGGCTCCCAGGTCATCTCTGATCCCTTCCGATGCTGCCACCGAACCATTACCAGGGGTACCTCCTTGCTTCTCAAAACCTTGATCTTCTGATCTCTGATGGCTACAGGTCTTTCAGCATAATTCAGGCTTGCATCCACCTGAATATCCCCTAACGGAACCACCGCCGATTCGTCGGCTATACATTTCCTCAGTTGCGACACATGGAAAGTATCGTGAATCTGTCCCAACTCTGCTGGCAAGTCAAAACGGTAGGCTACCCAACCCAACCTTGCGATCACACGGAAAGGACCAATATATCGGGGCCCCAACTTGCCCCTCTTCCTGAACCGAATCACTCCTTTCCAAGGAGAGACCTTCAGGAGTATGAGATCACCAACTTGGAACTCAAGCTCGGACCGTCGCCTGTCTGCATAACTCTTCTGTCGGCTCTGAGCGGTCAACAACCTTTGCCTGACCATCTGAATTTGCTCGGTCGTCTGAAGCACGATCTCCGTGCTACCCATAACCTGCTGTCCCACTTCACCCCAACAGATGGGGGTGCGACACCTCCGCCCATACAACAACTCAAAGGGCGGCATACCAATGCTCGAATGATGGTTGTTGTTATACGAGAACTCTGCTAAAGGTAGATAGGTGTGCCAGCTCCCTCCGAAGTCCAACACACATGCCCGAAGCATGTCCTCGAGCGTCTGAATTGTCCGCTCGCTCTGACCATCTGTCTGAGGATGATATGCCGTACTGAAAAGTAACCTAGTACCAACTCCTCATGGAATTTCTTCCAGAACCTAGAAGTGAAACGCACGTCGCGGTCCGAGATAATCGAGATCGGCACCCCGTGCCGAGATACTACTTCCCTCACATATAACTCGGCCAACTTCTCCGCAGAAGAGCTCTCGCTGATGGCTAGAAAATGAGCGCTCTTTGTCAGCCGATCCACGATCACCCAAATCGCATCGACTCCTCTCGCCGTTCGCGGTAACTTGGTGATGAAATCCATAGAGATTTGTTCCCACTTCCATTCGGGAATCTCTAGCGGTTGCAGCTTACCGTGCGGTCGCTGGTGCTCGGCCTTGACCTGCCGACAAGTCAAGCACCTCTCGACGAACCAAGCGACATCCCTTTTCATACATGGCCACTAGTACTCCTTCTTGAGATCCAAATACATTTTCGTAGCACCAGGATGAATCGAGAATTTCGATCGATGTGCTTCCTCCATCAAAATAGTGCGTGCACCGCCCACAAACGGCACCCAAATCCGTCCCTGAAAAGTCATAAGCCCTCGACCATCCGTAACAAATCCTGATACCTGACCTACAACCCGTTCCTTCTTCTGGTGTTCCGGCTTTGCAGCCTCCATCTGAGCCCCTCGAATAATATCCAGAATCGGGGTCAAAACCGTCAATCTCATACAAATGTCTCGGATCGGGGCGCTATCCGCCCTACGGCTCAATGCGTCGGCTACCACATTAGCCTTGCCCGGGTGGTACAGGATCTCACAATCGTAATCCTTCACCACATCCAACCACCTCCTCTGTCGCATATTTAGATTTGGCTGATCCATCAAGTATTTCAAGCTCTTATGGTCCGTGTAAATCGTACACCGAACCCCGTACAAATAGTGTCGCCAGATCTTGAGGGCAAACACCACCGCCCCCAATTCCAGGTCGTGAGTGGGATATCTCGACTCATGAGGCTTCAACTGCCTCGAAGCGTACGCTATCACATGATCCCTCTGCATAAGTACCGCCCCCAAACCCGATATAGAGGCATCACAGTATACCACAAAATCCTCCATCCCTTCCGGGAGTGCAAGCACTGGAGCCTCGCACAATTTCTGACGAAGCGTCTCGAATGAGGACTGCTGCTCCGGTCCCCATGAAAACGTAACACCCTTCCGGGTCATCCTAGTAAGTGGCACAGTGATCTTGGAGAAATCCTTGATAAATCTGCGGTAATATCCAGCCAAACCCAGAAAACTCCTGATCTCGGTGGGCGATCTCGGCACCTCCCACCTCAACACCGCCTCAATCTTGGCCGGGTCGACCAATATCCCCTTCTGGTTCACAAGATGCCCGAGGAACTGGACCTCTTGTAACCAGAATTCACACTTGGAGAACTTGGCATACAGTCTCTCCGATCTCAAAACCCGAAGAATCTCCCGCAAATGTTCCTCATGCTGGTCCCTAGTCCTCGAATACACCAAAATATCATCGATGAATACGATCACCGACCGATCCAGCATCGGTCGACACACCCGGTTCATGAGATCCATGAATGCGGCTGGGGCATTGGTGAGCCCAAAAGGCATCACCACAAACTCATAATGTCCATAACGAGTCCTGAAAGCAGTCTTTTGGATATCCTCCTCGCGAACTCTCATCTGATGATATCCCGACCTCAAGTCAATCTTGGAAAACCAAGATGCCCCCTGCAACTGATCGAACAGGTCGTCGATCCTAGGTAACGGATATCGGTTCTTAACCGTCAACTTGTTCAACTCCCGATAATCGATACACATCCGATGTGAACCATCCTTCTTCTTGACGAACAAAATCGGCGATCCCCAGGGCGAACTACTCGGTCGAATGAATCCCTTTCCCAACAGCTCCTGAAGCTGCGAGGATAATTCCTGCATTTTCGGTGGGGCAAGACGATAAGGTGCCTTGGCGATGGGCGCCGCTCCCGGAACCAAATCGATACGAAACTCCACTTGCCTCTCTGAGGCACACCTGGTAACTCCTCGGGGAA